GTCCACTTTGGATTCCTTTTGTTTGGGGTTCTGTGTGCTTCCTGGACTTGTAAGTCTAATTCTTTCACCAGGTGGGGGAAGTTTTCTGTCACTATTTCTTCCAATATGATTTTGATATCTTGCTCCCTCTTTTCTTCTGGGACCCCCCTAATTCTGGTGTTGGTTTGCTTGAAATTGTCCCAGAGGCTTCTTACATTATCTACAACTTTCTGAGTTCTCTTGTCTTCTTGCTTCTGCAGAGGAGTGTCTTCTGGCTCTTTATGTTCCAAATCTTTGACTTGATTCCTGCAATCTTCCATTCTGTTTTTAGGACTCTGTATAATATTTTTTTTTGACAATATAATCTTTATTTCTAGTTGATCCCTTTTTATTTCTAGTTGATCCATTTTCATATCATCATAGGTTTCATTTATTTTATTGGCCTTTTCTAGGAAATTCTTTAAAAAAAAAAAAAAAAAAAAAAAACCTTACAAGGGTGGTTTTGAACTCTATATCCAATCGCTGTTGTCCTCCTTTTCTTTCATTTGTGATCTGTTTCCTTGTCTCGGCATTTTCACAGCTTCCCTAAGTTGGTAGGGTGGCTTTGTGTGCTAAGGTGTCCTATATGGTTCAGTGGGTCAACCTCCCAGTTACCTGAGGTAGACACTCTTGGTGCTCCCCTTTGTGGACAGTGTGTACAGCCTTGTTGTAGTTAAGTCTTGATTGTTGGTATCACTGGGAGGAACTGGCCTCCAGGCCAATTGGCTGTGAGGATCAGCTGTGTCTAAGCCGGGAGACAGCCTTATTTGACTAGACTTGGAAAATTGCAAAAGCCTCTGTGTCAGCTTGGATGGGGTGGAGTTTCAGGGTGGAGCCTTCAGCCTTGGCTTCCCATCAGCCTTGCCCTATGAGGTTCCTGAGTCTCAGTGTTTCTCAGTGCCCTTCGGTACTCGCTGCAAACACCTCTGAGAGAAAGTTGCCCTTGAGTTTCGCCCGCTACCAGACAGTCTAGTCTCTCCCCCAATGAGCCCAGAACTGAGGTTCAGTGCAGTTGGAAGTGGGTTCAGTGCAGTCCAGAGCTTTTGTCTCCTTTCCACTAGAGCAATCCAGCTGCAAAGTCAACAGTCCTTCCTCTGTGTGCAATGTGTGCAGCTCTGGGACTCTGCCTTTTGCTGCTCCCGTGAGTTTCTGTCTTACAGCCAAGATTCCCTCTGTATGAGCCTGGGTCCCCAGGGTCTTGTCCAGAACTGGGGTTCAGTGCAGTCATAACTGGGTTTCAGTCCAGTCCAGAGCTTTTATCTCCTTCCTGCTAGGGAATGCCAGCCAGTCACTCAGCCGCCCCTCCTCTCTGGCTCAGTCCTCTCCCCACACATGCACTGTGTCTCCATACCTTAGGCTTTTACAGCTCCTTTGATTTTCCTTCTGGTTTTCTCTTTCCTTGTAGAATTTCCAGTCAGTCAACTTTCCTGTAGTTTTGGATAATGTCCATTTTTGTATTTTAGTTGTATTTTTAAAAATTGTTGTGTGAGGCTGCAGTTAGGGGTTTACCTATGCCGCCATCTTGGTTTCTCTCCAATGTTAGTTTCTAAGTTACAGGGAATTGTGCCCATTTTTTATGTTTGTTGTCCCTTCTGTTGGTTTTGCCATCTTCGGGGGGAGGGAGTGGACCATCCTCAGGCCTATTCTATGTCTTCCGTGAAGAGATGGGGCTCAGGCAAAGGGCCATTCAAAACTGGGTGGGATGTGTCTCCCCTTCATCCATGGCGCCCCTCTATATGGGCATAAAAATCCTGAGTGAGCCCCCAAATTGTGAGAAATTCTCACCTGTCCAAATTTAAGTAATAGATTCAGAGACAGAAGTATGGTGAACATGAGACTTTTAATACGTTCTCAAGAGTAGTTATCTGTCCCATTATACAGGCACATCTGGGGCAGTGAGCACAGCCTATTTACTTGGCCCCTTCTCCAGTTCCTCATTGGCTGAGTACTATGGGGTCATCTGTTTTCTCATATGTCACCCAGGTCTTGCTGTCTCCCATTGGGCCATTAAAAAAAAGTTGTGCCGAATTATGTTTGGCCCAGTGGATAGAGCATCGGTCTGTGGACTGAAATGTCCCAGGTTTGATTCTGGTCAAGGGCATGTACATTCCCCAGTAGGAGGTGTGCAAGAAGCAGCTGGTCAATGTTTCTCTCTCATCGATGTTTCTAGCTCTCTATTCCTCTCTGTAAAAAAGAAAAAAAGAAAAAAAGAAAGAAAAAAAGAAAAAAAAGCCTTATACTGAGGCCTTTTATATATTATTATTATTATTATTATTATTATATTTTATATTATTATTATTATTATTATTATTTTTTTTTTTTTTACAGAGATGAAGGGAGGGTAGAAAGTTAGAAACATCAATCATCTGCCTCCTGCACAACTCCCACTGGGGATGTGCCCGCAACCAAGGTGCATGCCCTTGATCAGAACCGAACCTGGGATCCTTCAATCTGCAGGCCAATGCTTTATCCACTGAGCCAATCTGGTTTTGGCTTGTTGAGGCCTTTTCTTGTTGCCTCCACCTGCCCCTGTCTAGCTGAGGTAGGTGCCCTGGGGATTCCCACATGGTGCTGGCCCAGGTGCACAGTTCTTTGTTCCTACACCCTCTTCCCTCCTCCCTCCATTCTGTGTGCCCGGGAAAAATTCAGTAGCCGCTTCCATTAAACGTTGGCTGTGCTGGAGACGGATCCAGAGGCCACTTCCTGCAGGGAAGTGGAGGGAATAGGAAGGAAGGAGCAGCAAGGCCAGCCTAGTCACCGCACATGAGCTCTTGTCCCTTCACCTAGGCTGGGAGGAGTGGGCGATGGGAGCTTCCCTCACAAAGGAAGGGAGGATTCCTGGGAGGACGTCCTATCCCTTTGCTCCCAGGCTAGAGGTCACCCAGTGGTTCTTGAGGGGACAAGGCGGGTGTACCCTGGCATCCCACTATGCTAAGGCTGCCTCTGTTCTCCTGGGGCCCCTCTTAGGCAATGGGGCTCAAGCCACAAAGCTCAGTCAGGATGGCAGAAGGCTGAGGCTGGCTCTGTCCTTAGTTGTCAGACTGAGAAATCAGATGAGAGGTTTTTAAAGTTGGAGATCCATACTGAGCATTTTGCCGAGCTTGTTTCCTCATTTCTCAAAGAAAATAACGTACTTTCCACTTCTTGGGGTGTTGTGAGGACTCAATGAGATGATGCAGGTCAGGTACCTATCCATGTTGGGGAGTTGGAACTCAACAAGGGATGGCCCTGCTTCTCATTCTTGCCAATCCCCTATTGTGGTAGCCTGGCAGCCACCTCCTGAGCACACTTTGGGCCTCCACACAGGTCTCACCTCCTCAAGACATACTTCCCTGATGCCCCTACCCTCAATACTCGCACATCATGGCTTCTTCCTCACGGCCCTAGCCTTGATGTCCCTCCTGCAGGAAGCCCACAATAGCCATGAGAGGTCCTCTACCCAGCACCTGGAAGTCCCTACCTGTCCCCCTTCTACCAGCAGCCTATCCAAATTCAAAGCTCAGTGGTCAATGCCTCCCCTTCCCCTCCTCAGGCTAGCTCTACCTGAAGATGAGAAGTGGGGTGGGGATTCTGAGTTTGGCCATCCTGAGGCTGTGTGATCTATGCTACAGTCCCTCAAACAAGGTTTATTCCATCTCCCTTCTTCTCCCTGGGATCTTTCCCTTAGGCTGAAAGGTGTGCCCTGGCCTGAGGGTTTCCCAGACTTGGGATTCTCAGAGCTAAAACCAGTGAGGCCCTAGGGAAATGAGACCCCTTGGGCATCCTGCTTTTACTGTGGTTGAATGCCTTAATTTTTAAAAAATTTCACAATTATGACATTCTTCTCAAAAAAAATGAAACATTAAACCATTAAAAGGAATCAGAACTCCTTGGAGAAATAGCAGATTCCAGTTTGGGACAGAATACAAAATTCTGGAACAATTTGTGCTAGAAAGTAAGAAAATGCTCAAATATCGTGATGTATTGAAAGAACATGAGAGGCAGCTAGGAGGAGCCCCACCTGTCAGTTGAGCATCTAAGGAAATTAGAGTAACAGAAAAAAACTCGCTGAATAAAATCCTCCTCTATAATAAAAGCCTAATATGCTAAGTATCTAGTTGCCCGTTCAATCAAAGCATAATATGCTAATGGTATGCTAAGGCCGCTAGAGTGAGATGGGCTGGACTTGCCCTGGAGCTCTCCTCAGTCCTCCCTGCCCAGATCATGCACTGGTGGGGTCCCTCGGCCTGGCCTGCGCCCTCTTGCAATCCAGGCTGAGAGACTCCTCCCAGTGCACCAGGCCGCTAGTAAGAATATGATGCTAACGAATGAAACCTCTTCTCTAGAACACAAAGCCATAGGTGGAGAAGGAATGGTGGCAATAGTGAAGAAGCAGCGTGGACTCGTGAGTGTGAACCAGACACAGCAATGAAACCTGAGGTTAGTCCTCCGAGGAGGGTGTCTGCAAGTGTCCCCGGAGGTGGTGATCACGAAGGGACACCAGCCGCGACTCAGGGGCAGGCTGCGCGGCCAGGACGTGCGCACCTCCCGGCGTCCCAGGCTCAGAGCGGGCTCGCGGGGCGCGCACGTCCCGCCGCCTCGACGACTAGGTCCGCAGATGGAGGGGGCTGAGGCGCGGGCCTAGGGCGCGAGCAGGAAAACAGCATACTTCCGGCTCTAGGACGGCGGCCTCGCGGGCCAATCACGGCCGGGGCGGGCAGGCGCGGGCATGACGGTCCTTGTAGTCGGTGCGCGGGCGGGACTACGGCACCCAGAATACCCCGGGCGGCGGCGGCGCGGCCAATCCAGGGCCGAGGCGGCGGGCTCGCGTCCGCACGGGCTCCGCGGTCGCGCGGGCGGGACTACGGCACCCACAGCGCCCCGCGCGGGGGAGCGCACTGCGGCTGTGCGGCGGCCCGGGCGCCGTCGGGCTGGGCGGTGGCCAAGCGGACTGGAGCCGGGTGTGAGCCGGTGGAAGCAACGTGAGCCGGTCCGCGGCCACCATGTCGGCGCCGTCTGAGGAGGAGGAGTACGCGCGGCTGGTGATGGAGGCGCAGCCCGAGTGGCTGCGCGCCGAGGTGAAGCGGCTGTCGCACGAGCTGGCCGAGACCACGCGCGAGAAGATCCAGGCGGCGGAGTACGGGCTGGCGGTGCTCGAGGAGAAACACCAGCTCAAGCTGCAGTTCGAGGAGCTGGAGGTGGATTACGAGGCCATCCGCGGCGAGATGGAGCAGCTCAAGGAGGTGAGGCGCGGGCGGCCGCCGCCACGCCCTCGGCGTCCCGCCCGGCTCCCGCCCGCCCCGGGCCGACCCCTGGCCGGCGACGGCAGCCCCGGGCGCCCGGGGTGCGCGCACGGCCGGCCTGCCGCTGCGGGCCGCGCCGGGTGGGCCGCGCCGCCAGCCTGCCTGCTCCGGGGGCAGGCCTCGCGGACGACGGCTGCGTTCCTGCCGCACTGGCTCCCGGGCTGGGAGAGGGCGTGGGCGTGGGGTGAACGCCGAGGAAAGCCCGCCTGGTCCTGCCTCACCTCCGGCGGACACTTCCCCGGGCGGTGCAGCGCCTTCAGCCGGTCTAGTGGCCAGGACAGGCCTGGGGCAGGTCGCCCGGCCTGCGTCTGGGGGCCTGCCTCCGGAGCCAGCTCCGACCATTCCCCCCGTTACTGCTCTGGGAAGCGCGCTGCTTCCGCCCACTTCCTGTCTTGGCGCCCTCCCGGCTCTCCCCCGCAGATGGGACGGCCGCTCTGGGTGTGTGTCGGATTTTCACTCCGCGATGAGGAGGTCAGGGCCTCGGCAGCCTTCCGGGACGTATTCTCAGTGACTTGAACGCCAGCTTCTCGCAGCCCTGTGCGGGGGTGAGGAAGAGGCCTTGTCTCCTGGCTGGAACCCAGGTGTGGACAGGGGCCTTGACTTCCTTCTCTGCAACATGGCCCACCCACAAGGCTTGTTAGGAGGGCTTATATTTGAAAAGGCGAGGCTTGGTGTCAGTTTCCCTGACAGGGTGCCCCTTCCCCACCTGACTTTCCCCTCGTCCTGGTGGGCTCTTGGCCCTTGATCTTGGGATCCACCATGCTATCTGCTTCCCCCACCTCTCACCTCCTGGCACCAACACACCTAGTGGCCTGGGAAGGGTGCCTGGACTGGTCAGAGCCTCCCTGCCTCACTGAGGAGTCCAGTAGAGTCCTCTTTTGAAGGTGGGAGGAGAGAATAAAGGAATCCGTGCCTGGCAGAGGTGCTTGGCGGTAGCATCAGTAAACAGCTGACATGAGCGGTGGGAAGGCAGGTGGCAGTCACTAACCCCAGGTCCTGACATCTGTCGGCGAGCATTGGGCCTCCTTTGAGCCAGGCTTGGCTGGCACTGGATCTGCAAGAGGAGTAATATGTGGCCCCTCAAACAAGGGTTCCATTGGTGTGTGTGCGGGGGATGGGATCCCTGGATGGGGCTCACCCTCCACAGCACTCACAGCCCCCCTCTTGTGCTCACAAGCTTGCCTTTGTGACCCTGTAAGAGAGGACTGGACCCATGATTGCAGAGGGAACTGCCTTCCACTCAGGGGCCTTTCATTCGTTAGCCCTTTTCCGCGTGGACAGACATTGTGGCCAACACAAGCATCTTGGCTCCGTTTAGTGGGTGTGTCTCGGAGGTGGGTCCCAGGGAAATCAGGAGGAAGTGGGTCCATCTCCACAGTGTCCTTCAGGTGCCTGCTTCCTTAGCTTGCTGTCACCTGCCTTTTGCATATACTGACCACATGGCTCTGGACATGTTGCCCTCTGTCCTGAATTCAGTTTTCCCCGTTGTAGGTGGGAAGTTCTGGCAGAAGCTAGAGGAAGATGAATCCGTTCAGAAGGTGTTGCCAGAAAGCTTGCTCCAGTTCACTCATACCTGTACCAGTACAGGCTCTTGTCAACCCGTTTATTTTGTGTCCATTTCATATTTGGAAACACTGGCTCTTATTTTTAAAATCAAGATTTAAGTAGATAATACAGAGTGGGGCAAAAGTAGGTTTACAGTTGTGAGTACGTGAAACTGTTAATCTTGTATTATTATTAGTTATTATTTTTCATGTGAACAGCTGTAAACCTATATTGGCCCCACCCTGAATTTGTTGGCCCCATTTTTTTTTCTCCTGTAGAGAAGTGAACTATCTGAATTCTTTTAAAACTATTGGACTAAAGTGGATTCAGTTACTAACAAATGCTGCAAACAGATTGCCTGTACTCCTGCGCAGCATTTGTAGGTAATACCATGTTTGAGGGAGGGAAGCTGTCTGGCAGGGTCCAAGCACTGTCCTCAGCTGCAACTTTACTGGTGCAGGCGTGTTGGGTGGGAGGTCCTGTCTGGTAGGGTTAGGTAAGTGCCAGAAGTAGGTGGTCCTCACAGGTGGGGGGGAGGGGGAATGATGGCATCCCTCAGGCCAGGAGCAGGTTCCTGATGCAGTGTCAGCCCTGCCATCTCTCAGGATCTTGACTGTGTGGTGTACATACATCTTGGGGAAGCAGTGAGTGCAGTTTGGTGAGCTCTGGTGTTTCATGGGCTGGGCATAGTGCCTGCCTGGCACACAGGAAGTGCTTACACTTGCTGGTTAGTGGCCTCAGCTCCTTCCCTCCACCTCTCCGGCCTGGATCCCCTTCCTGCTGTTCCCACAGCCACCAGCTCTGCTCCTTGGCTTGGTGTGATCTGTAGCATCCCCACTGCATCCCCAGGGGCAGCCCAAGCCTGCTGCCCGGGGTCTCCAGGTGGCCCAGCCTGTACTGCGGATGCTTGTAACCCCTCTGTCACCCCCTCTGGGCTTGCCTGAGCCCAGCTCCCAACACTCATCTGTCATCCCTCCTGTCCTGCGGGCTCAGCAGCCAGGAGGGCTGGGGCAGAGCTGATGAGAGCAGCTCCCTTCCCTCCCTCTTATCATCTCCTCGCAGAGGACGGGGAGACTGAGGTAGAATGGGTGGGAGCGACTCAGGAAGGCTCAGCAGCTCAAACAACGTGGGAAGGGGTTCTTGGCACCGATTTCCCAGCTGTGTGTTTGCAGAAGTCACAGATTGGGTGGGGGAGCGCTGCCACTTGGTCTCATCCTGCAGCTGAGCTGCTCCTGTCGTAGCCTCCCCGGGCCCCACTGACTCCTGCAGTCCCATACCAGCCCTTGGATTACCACCTTCTTATAGCCATTGTACAGATGGGAAAACTGAGGCAGGTGCAGAGAAGGCATGTTTGCTCAAGGCTATGCCCCGGCATCCTGTCTGGAAAGGGCAGGCACCTGCGGAGGAGGCAGGGCGATTGGAGGCCTCTGTGTGGGCCCGGCCTCCTCAGTGTCTGCTTCAGGGCAGGAAGAACGCTGCTTGGGCTGAAGCCTGGAGGGTTCTCCCGCCCTCTGAGAGGCCTAGAACTCAGCAGTCTTTGGGGCTGGGGAGCGGGGAGAGGCCAGGCCCTTTTGGAGCTGGAGCTGGAGCTGGAGCTGGAACTGGGTGTGCGTTCTGCTGTTGCGTGAGAGGCATGACTTGGGGGGCTGAGGAACCCTGAAGTGCTGATGTGGCCTGCTGGTCCACAGCCAGGAGAGGCAGCTACAGATGTCCAAAGGCTGTGACTCCAGGGTTCACTGTGGCTTACTGCTGGACACTCCCTGCTGGCCCACAAGCAGAGGGTATGAATCCCTCTTATGGGCTCCCTCCCTTGTAAAAGTGCCGAGACTGACTGCCGCGGCACCGGGGCTGCTGCCATCTGCTGTCCTGGCGGGAGCAGCTGTGCCCCTCAACATCCCCAGGCGTGGCCTTGGACTCAAGACTGGCACACTGACAGCAGCTTTCCTACAGGTAGGCAGCAGGGTCGCCAGGCGGGGACCAGGAGCCCAGGCCCAAAGGTGGCTTTTGCCTGGGAGGGGAGGGGTACTGCTGTGCTGCATGGGCTGTTTTCACACTGGCTCCAGGAGGGTTCGATCCTGCGGGGCCCTCAGCTGTGTGGCCCTCGATAAGCAGCGTTGCCCACTGGAGCCAGGATAGGTTGCAAGAGTGCAGGTCACTGCATGGGTTGGTGCACCTGAGCCTGTGGGGGAGTGGTAGGGGGTGAGTGGCTGAGGCTCCCTGGGCCTGAGCAGCTGACTGGGAAGAGCCATGGCCAGACCAGGTTGGGCTCCTGCTGCACCACCCTCCGAACCCGGTCATTTCCAGTGGAGGTCAACTTCCCCTCATCAGTTTGGGGCAGTCACCCCTTAGACCTTCGCCATATCAGGTCACTGGGTGAAGGGCCACTACACATATTGGGGGTAAAGAAAGATTGGGTTTCTTCTTAGACTGTGAGGGGAAGAGGGCCCGTGGCAGGGGCTGGCCCGGACCCTGCAGGCTCTGACACGTGAGGTCCTCCCAGGCCCTGTGTGGCTGTCCAGCTGCTGTCCTGGGCATTAAACCCTGCCAGTCCGCTGGGCTCTGCCATGGGAGATAGACTGGGCATTTGTAACAATTGTTTTTAAAAAGACACAGAGTTGGGTATTACTCTCTGAGTTGCAGAAAAACAGGTTTCATTCAAGTGGATAAAGACAGTTCGGAAGGCATGCACTTTGAGTCTGTTGGGTCATGTGAAATGATTGCGTGGTTTGTATTTCACAGATTTGCTTTTTTAAAGACAGTTTTCTGCACTGCTTCCCTCATAATGGTTCCACCTTCTTTAGGGGAAGTTGTAAGTGTAACCAGAGCAGAGGGAGTGTGCCTCTCCACCTGCTCCGGCAGCCTTCTCTTTGCCTCACTTTCTCTGTAAGTACATTGGTATGTTGTGCTGAGAAAGTAACTCTTTTTTATAAAACATTAGAGGCCCAGTGCATGAAAATTTGTGCACTCTCGGGGGGAGGGGAGGGTGTCCCCTTCAGCTCAGCCTGCACCCGCAGTCTATGACCCCCTGGGGGATGTCCACCTGCCAGCTTAGGCCCACTTCCCAAAGGGATCAGGCCTAAGCTGGCAGTCCAACATCCCTCTAGCAACCTGGGAACCCTTGGGGATGTCTGACTGTGGCTTGGGCCCGCCTAAGCCACAGTTGGACATTGTTAGCACTGCTGAGGAGGCACTGTGTCTGCAGCCATCAGCCCCGCTTGTAGCTGAGTGCCCCCCCCCACCCATGGGAGTGCACTGGCCACCAGGGGGCAGCTCCTGCATTGAAGGCCTGTCCCCTGGTGGTCATTGCGCATCATAACGACCAGTCGTTCCACTGTTAGGATCAATTAGCATATTACCCTTTTACTATATAGGATAGGATAACCGTAGGTGAATTT